AAGTTTTTATTTTGCAGAAGCATGAGAATATTTGATAGGATCAGGTATGTTCAGGTTAGTGTGGCTGCAGTGCTTCTCAGTGTTGGCTGTAGACATCTTTCTCTTCATGAGAACTACTTGTTTCTGTTGATAAGTTTATCTCTACTGAATTCTTCTGGTATGTTTAGTCTCTGGAATGGTCTTGGATTGTTGCAGTATTACAACATTCAGCCATATTCTTCATAACTACATTTAAATTTAATTCTAATATGTCCATCATGAACACTTAATTTCTACGTAATACCTTCATCTTTGTTGGCCATTTCTGTCTTTTCTGTATTTGTATGAAATATCTCATGGGTCATGGGGAGGCAACAGTTACACTCTTTTCTGTATGATAACATGTAGCAGAAGCGCAGTAATCAATTACTGAAAGACTTTTTTTTTTTTTTTTTTTTTTTTTTTTTTCAAAACTGGGTATTGAACTCAGGCCCTTGCACTTGCCAGGCAAGTGCATATTCTACTGAACTATCTCCCTGGCCCCTGAAAGACTTTGAAAGAGATGTCTGCACTGGTTCTTGATCATAACATATCTTTTATTTGTGTAGTCTTTTGTGACCTGAAAAGCTAGAAATGTAGGCTTTCCTTTATGTAGATACTCACAATTAATACAGAATAATGTGGCAGCTGAAATTTGAACTGTTGTTTGTTGGGTGACTAATGCTGTTTAACTAAATCAGGGTAACAGGTGAAATTTGTGTGTATTGAAGCCATGTTAAGCAAGGATGTCAGCAGCAAAGACCTGTCACTGAGGCTGGACCACAAAGTTGTTTCAGATCCAAATATTGCTTGCTCCTTTACTATTACCTCAGCTAGAAGGTGAGAAAAAGATAAAATTAAAGATTCATGAGGAGAGAGGAGGGCTTCCTTCTGTACCTTGTTGCTCCTCGAGAAGGACTCTGAAGTCTGGTAGGCTTGGCAACACAGTGAGCTTAATGCACTTCTTTCTTTTGTTGAGGTTCATAGCTAGACAGGTATAAGTTGCATAACTGGCTGATAGCAGCATAGCACTAGACCTTAGTTCTTTTTATATTTGGTTCTGACATTTATTTTTTACCTCATGTATTTCCTTCTGACCTCCTTCTGTAAGATCTTGTTCCTTCTGTGAGCAATGAGAAAATGTGGTCGCAGGAAATTTTTGTTGGTACAGATGCTCTTACTTTAGTTACAGTGCCTCAAACGTCAAACCAATGGGACTTTCCATTTTCTTTCTTCTACTAGTGCCTCTGTACCTTTTTGGACAAGGAGCCCCCTCATCTTCTCATCTGGATAGAGTGTGCTTCAGTTAATATTGTAAGCTGAAAAATCCCTTAAGTTTCTGCTAGATTTTGGCAGAGTGCACTTCCAATATCAGTTGCAGCTCCCAAAGTACTCCACAGTGTTTCTCTGGCATAATGAAGCCCTTGGCCATTACTGCTACTTTGAAAATCAAAGCCTTTTGGTCTCTAATGGAACGTTTATAAAAATACTGCATTTTGAAATTTGCTCAGGAAAAGGAAGTGTGGTAAATGGTATTAGAAATCCCTCTGGCTTGCTTTGGCATTGCTTCATATAATGTTATCTACTCTGGAAATAACTGGAATTCATATGAATAAGAGAGTGTTAAAATCCAAAGATAAATAACCTCTTCATTACTTTATAGAAGCATAGGTAGCATTACTGTGTATTCTTATTATTTTTATATATAATATATTCCCCTTTATTAAATATAGATATTCAGGATCAGCTAAAAAGAAAAAATTCCCCTAACACCTATACCAAAAGTCTTATATTTGTATTCTTACATCAAAGTAAAAATGGAGGCTTCTAGGATGAAGCTTTAGAAAATGTTATTATTATAAAAGTTATATTGTATATGTGTCATTCTGTGTTACTTCCCTTGATATCAGTGAAAAGAAGAAAGTATAAAATGAAATTATGAAACATTTTAACTTAGTAATGGAGTGATGATCATAAAATGTACCTGTAAAGAAGATAGAGACCTTTTTCTCACTTACCCTATGGTGTAGTCTCTGTCTTAATGTAGGGTACTTACATTTATGTATTTTAAAGTAAGAAAATATGTATTCAAGAACTGTTTAACAAGAGATTACTGTATAATACTTGGAATTACTCTAAAAATCTAGCACTGTGTACAGTGAAGTCAGGCCTCCTGTTCTCCTGGAGCATCTACTCTAATGGAACCAAAAACAAGTCACATAGATTGACTCATTGGTTGATCAGTTCCATAGTTTTCACTGTACACTTCCATCACTTTGCTCAATAGCATGGGTCATTTCTTCTCAAAGGAAAATGATCTGACAACTTAAAGGATTATAGACCTGCAATGTTTGAACTTTAGGGAACTAGAGGCAGTGACTTTTAGAAAACAGCCACCTTCCCCAGTGACCCCTGCATGCTTGTCTCTCTCATGTGCACTCTTTTGCTGAAGTCTGTGGTTGGCATGGCATGACAGCTTTCTCTCTGAAGTAACATGAAGATGATAAGGGCATCATTGGCATCAACACAGAACCCTTGTTAAGTCAAAAACACGAGGCCAAGGATGAGGCTTACTGGTAGAGCACTTCCCTGGCATGCTCACAGCCTTAGGTTATGACCTCAGCAATGCAAAAGTGAGAAAACCAAAAATATAAATAATTTAAAGAACAAAATAGAAAAGAGATGGTAAGAAACAGGGAAGTAGACTTTGTGCAGATGGAGAGGGGATCTATGATGGGGCAGGGAGGCCAGGGTGGAGATGAGGGAGTAAAATGATAAAGATTCAATATGTATATGTATCATTTTCCTGAGATGAATGTCATTATTATGTATGGAAAAGATGTACTAATAATTTAAAAGCAATGTTTGAAATTTCAAGCTAAAAGCAAGAGGTCACTAATAATTGAGAAAGCATTCTTCATTTATCATTAGTCTTTCATTATGTAGGCCTGAGCTACCAATGATATCCTTTGGTAGCATTATTCGATTTTAAGTCATTTGATTTTTCTTATGTGACGATATCTATATTAAAACTATACTTGAGAAAGAAATTTTATGTTGGTAAGCAAATGTAAATCTAACGCTTTTGCTATTTGCATTAAACATGCTACACAGTTTTTCCCTTTAAAAATGTGTAGCTTATTTGATTTATATCAGAGATGTTACACTGAAGGCTCAACCATTTTTGTCAAATCCACTTAAAAGTCTTGCCTACTTTTACAAATACTTTCTTGTAGAACTACAACTCTTTCAAGCACTGCATTTACAAGCCAGAACATTTTAATAAAAAGAAAGAAAATTCTTATCATCCACTTAACCATATACTCATAGTAGTAAACATTGTCCTTATACTGGGGAGCCTTGTTATTGCTGTTGCTTTTGTTTATGTTATATCTAAGGTTTTTGCTTTTGTATTTTAGAAATTAAAGAGAGCGTGCTCTCTCTGGGATCTTAGCTAATTGCAGTGAGTAGATCAATGTACAACGAACATGTCCTTTCTAATTCTCAGATTTTATGATTCTGTACTTACCTTTGCCTCTTCTTTCTTAGGAAAAAGAGTGGGGCTCATGTTGGTGCTAATGTGGAAGTAAATTGGGCCAGGGGCTTAGGAAGTAATAAGCATTGAATGCCTGTATGATGTAGAATATGATATAGAATATGTTATAGATAGTCAGAGGCAATTACTGTGGGCTTCTTATGCTCCCTTGTAGGTGTTTTTTTAAAAAAAAAATAAATACCTTTTTAATAATAAATTTTTGTAATTAGGAAAAAAGAAAAAAAAACAAATATAAAAGCAGATTTTGTACATTATCTTTTTCAAATACCTTAAACAGATAATCCCTGAATTTTTAGAAATGGATCTCTATGTGAATTATCAAAAAAAAGTGATTAATTAAAGCTCTTGAACAGAATTTTGAGCAAGAAAACTTATACTTCGTGGTTTTATAGCTAAGTTTATTATTTCCTAGAAAAGTTTCCTGAAAGAATTTTTCTTAGTGGCAAGATAAAATTTGAGCTAGCTATCCCATAGTCATTAGTGCTGAAACAATCCAGTCTTCCTCATGTTTATGTCCCTAGCCCCAAATATACCAGTTTAACCTATCTATACAAGGTGCTCAAAAACTGTTTTTAACACTCAGCCCAGCATCCATTCTTTATGCAATAATGGGAAAAGAAGATAATATGAAGTAAAAGAATGAATTTTATGTGTTCTCTTTAGTCACTCTAAAATGTTCCCTTTCAGAAAATATAAAAATGTTTTTATGTACAGTGTATTGGAACCACAAGCACTGACTTTGTGTATCAAAGTTGGAGAAATGAGATTGATGTCCTACATAGCTGTAAAATGCCAAAAATAAGTAGAGCTGAAATGAATTAAAGCCCAGTGCTCAGAAAGGCCAAGGAAAAGCTTCATATCAAGGGTGGCTATAATTGAAAGGGTCCAAGTAAGTATTTAAAACCACCCCTCCTGGGACTTCTAAGATTTCTGAATTTCAAATTGGTGTTTTATGTGTGACAAGGTGACATTGTATATGAAATGTATTGTAAAACACTGCTGTATGATAGGAAAATGATTGAATGTAAATATTTTAACATGTGGACCACTGTTCAAATGTTATCATAAATCTTTGCCATTGTTTTAGGGGATAACTTCATGCATATATGAGCTGAATTGATAGAGCTAGCTCTTAGAAGAGAAGTCGTCAGTGAGTTTCTACCTCTTTCCCACCATTATACTGATTATACCATTAAAATGACCTATTAGATCTTTGCTGTTGTTACAATATACGTATTAGTCATAAGTTAGTGGGGAAACCCTTTTTTGAAGGGTATTACATCTGGCTTTGCTTCAATCCTGTTCACTAAGAGGTGTGAAATGTCATTACGTGAAATTAGAATGGACTGAGACAGTTTATACTCTTAAACTTTGAGAAAGAAAACAGCCTGAACTATATGATTAACTGTCCTTCCATTCTTTCCAGATTTGGGAGGTTTACAGTTGCTGCTCTTCAGTCTAAAGTAGAACAGTATGAACGTGAGACCAATCGCCTTAAGAAAGCCCTGGAAAGAAGTGATAAGTATATAGAGGAACTAGAATCTCAAGTTGCACAACTAAAAAATTCAAATGAAGAGAAGGAAGCTATGGATGCCATTTGCCAGAGAGCACTTTCTACAGATGGTAAGGGGGGCAGTGAGGGAGATGTGGCATCAAATAGTCAAGGTGATGGTGCCAGAAAGCAGCCTAGCTCATCTACCTCTAGTTCTTCTCATCTGACAAAACCTGCCAGCAGCAGACTCTCTGACACCAGCACCTCGAGACAGGAAAGCACCAGCAAAACAGAACCAAACCATCCTAAGAACAAAGAGCTGTATCAAAAACAGGTAGAAATAATGTTAGATGTTCCAGATACAAGTATGGATACTTATTTGGAAGGAGAATGGGGTAATAAGCCTGGTAATTGTGTCACCTACAAAGATGAGGAGCTCTATGATATCCCAGCTCCTTGTACTCCTTTATCCCTTAGTTGCCTTCAGTTAAATACTCCAGAAAACAGAGAGAGTTCTGCAGTCAAAGCAGGAGGGTCCAAAAAGCACTCAAATCATCTCAGAAAATTGGTATTTGATGATTTTTGTGATTCTCCAAATGTGTGTGATAAGGATTGTTCACAAGATAATATAAATAGAAATGAAAATGAAAAGAAATCAGAATGTTTTGCTTCCCCAAAGACAGGATTTTGGGATTGTTGCTCTGCAAGCTATGCCCAAAGCTTGGATTTTGAAAATTCAGAGGGAAACATAATAGCAAACTCTGTTGGAGAAATATCTTCAAAATTGAATGAGAAATCTGTCTCATGTTTATCCAAGAGATTGAATTCTATTCGCTCTTTTGAAATGAACCGGACGAGAACATCCAGCGAAGCCTCAATGGATGCTGCTTACCTTGACAAAATCTCTGAATTGGATTCCATGATGTCAGAGTCAGACAACAGCAAGAGCCCTTGCAATAATGGTTTTAAATCAGTGGATTTGGATGGATTATCAAAATCATCTCAAGGCAGTGAATTTCTTGAGGAGCCTGATAAGTTGGAAGAAAGAACTGAGCTTAGTCTTCCCAAAGGTTCTCTAAGTGCTGATCAGCTGGAAAATGGAAATGAATGGAAACCTGCTTCTTTTTTTCTCCTTTCTCCATCTGACCAAGAAATGAATGAAGATTTTTCACTCCATCCTGCTTCTAATCCAGAAACTAATGAAATCAAACCCCCAAGCTGTTTATTTCAGACAGAGTTTTCCCAGGGTGTTTTGTTAAGCAGTTCACATCGACTGTTTGAAGATCAAAGGTTTGGGTCATCTTTGTTTAAGATGTCTTCAGAGATGCACAGTCTTCATACCCACCTCCAGTCTCCTTGGTCTGCTGCTTTTGTGCCTGAAAAGAGGAATAAAAATGTGAATCAGTCAACAAAAAGAAAAATCCACAGTAGCCTTTCTAATGCCAGCCCATCAAAAGCAACGAAAAGTTGACTCATCAGGTGTCATTGTGTTTTTCTCCTAAAAGAAATATAAAAGTTTTTAAAGTTACTTTTTTCCTTTCATGAATACAATTTGAATTGATAATCTTTAGTCAAATGTCAAGTCAAAATAGTAGATTAACCTATGTTCCCAGTGAACCTTTTACATTATTTTGAAAAGACTTTTGATCTTTTCATTTGGGGATCTTTTTGACCAGAGAAGGAAGGGAAAGTTATTTGTTTGCTTAATGAATATATGTGTCTGGGCTGGGTGTGTTTTGTTTCTTGGCTCTTAATTTAACTATTAGATACAGTGGCCTGCTAATGAGGCTCAGTTGTCTTCAAAACTCTTAGTGATGTCTATGCACTGATCATAAGACACTTGAATTTCTTTAAAGCTTTTACCTAGGGTGAAGATTATTTTGTGTGCCCCTTTTTATTTATGTTTAGTGATGGCCAGATTTTATGCAAGGCTATGGTGGAAAAATAGCATTCTGACCTTAGTCCAGTATTCATTTGCTTTTTCTTCAGGTTTTTATGTATATGTTTGCATTTTTTAGCATTTTAATTTGTCCAGTTTTGTTACTATGAAAGAATGCATTTTCTACATAAAAATAACTCATTTTTATATCAGGCATCTTGTACTTGCATTTTTATTTGATGTCCGGCAGCTTATATTTGCTTATATTTTTGTATTTGAAATCAAAAATTGAGTATACTTTCGAAGATATGGAGCAGTTGAGTTTGTTGGAGGAGCTTAGACACCATAGCTTCATTGTTCCTAATGTATACATGCAAAAGCATCTTTGCCAAGTTCTCGATCCACTTATATCCCAGGGAGGGGTTTTTGAAGTGCTAACATTCTTATTTGCATGTAACTGTTCTCTGTGGAAACAGGCTGCATGATAACATTTTGCTTGCTCTATTTTCCGTACTTAAGAAAAAGAAGATTCAATTGGCTACTAGACTAGCCTTTTTTTTTTTTTTTTTTTTAAAGAGTATTGAGAGGTTAAGGATAAGTAATAAGTAAGCACAATTTGTAATTTAGGCTCCAAAAAAATATATTACCTGAACATGTTTGGTGTGCCTGTGAAGGCCTTTAAAAAAATGGGTTTGTGTGCTAATTACTTGTTTATCTAATGTGCACTGAATCTTTTACATTAATGCCATATTGTCTTACATTAATACTGCATGCTTTTCTATGTGAATTGAATAAAGGATGTCATAAGCACTGTATGTCTTGGTGTTTCAGATATTATATTAGCCTATGTAGACCCAGAAAATTTATCATTAATTAGTTTATAATACATCGGTACACCAACTGTGGCCCATATACCAAATCTGGCCTACACCTGTTTTTGAAAGACCTGTGACAAAACCCCAGTTTTTACTGTAAAAAAAATTAAATCCAAAAATATTCTTGACAACAAAATTATGTGAAGTTCCTGCATCATTAGTCTACTGGAACAGAGCTACCCTCAGTTGTTTACATACTATCTGACTCCCTTGGACCGTGACTACAGAGTTGGCAGTAGCAAGAGACCATGTGTTTTGCAAAACCTAAAATATTTACTGTCTAGTCTTCTGCAGGAAAAACTGCGGATCTTGGCTATAATAGACCCTGAAGATTTGAAGATTCAGTGAAAAAAATATAACAAATCACTTTCCTTATTTGGAGGCTTATGTTCTCCACCTTCAAAAGTAATAACAGCCAGAAAAATAATTTAAAACATACTTATTTGTCATTTATCTTATAATAATTGTTTTTCTGATATATATTAGGCAATGAAATGTAGGAATTAAATTTTTTTGTCATAGGGTAGATTTAAGGGTATTGTGGTCAATATATGTTAGCCCCACTGTTCATATATTTAGGTAAATCCCATAATTAAGAGGTGGGGGTGGGACAACCTGCTTGGGGCCCCCCTCCTGTCCCTCTCCTTGGACAGGAGCTTTCTTTCCCCCAATAAATATATTCTGCTAACAAAAAAAAAAAAAAAAAAAAAAAGGTGGGAGGGTGCCATGAAGATGGCTCAGTATAATAAATGCTTGCCTGGCAAGTTTCTAACAAAAGAATAAATCAGAGGAGGGGCCTTTGGAAAGTGAGTAGATGGTGAGCACTCTGCCTTCATGAATGGTGTTAGTGCCTTAAAGCAAGGCCTTCCATTCCCTCTTGCCACATGGCACTGGGAGGACATGGCTAACATTCAGCATCTTTGTGGCAGAAAAGCTCTTATCAGATACTAGATCTAGCCCATCAATTTTGAACTTCACAGCCACAACTAAGAAAATTCTATGGTTATAATTTGACTGATGTGTAATAGTGTAGTATAATGTTTATAAATGTGTACTGTAATGTTTATGAATGTGTAGTGTATGTAATGCTTATAATTGGCTAATGTAGCTGTCATCTCTGCTCAGATAAGCTAAGAGCAGGGGTAGATGTCACTCAATTCTATCTGTAACCAAAAATATATGCTTTTAGTCCAAAGACATGTGGAGTGGCACTGTTGAAGTTTGTGGCCTGGTTTACCAGCTGAGAAGAGAGCATCCCTGTTGGGCCTGAATGTTTCTGAGCTGCCTACTTTCCAAAGCATTCCTCTGTCCCAAGTACTTTGCACATTACGGAATTAACAGGGATAATCATTCAGGCTTTTATTTTAATTGCGTATTGTTGTTGCTCTTTACTTTTTTGCCATAATCTCCTATAACAAATACAATGGTCTCAGAGTTTTCAGACATACCTATTATGTCCACATACAGCAAACAAAACAACATAGAGATCAGATGTTTTTCTAACTTCTATTTCATAAACTTTTCAAATCTGTGTGACAAGTACTACTGTTATCCCCAGTTTACAGGAAGGCAAATTGAGGGTTAGTGACCACACAGCTGGAATGGGTTGGAACTATGTCCTGGAACTGGGTCTCTGCCTTTAGCCCTCTGGCCTGTGCTCTTCTCTCCTACTTTGGAGTCCGCATTTCCAAACAAAAGAATGGATGGATTTGAAGTTTGCCAGGCATTCCTTTTTTCAGATATTTTGGGAGCATCAGCCTGTTTTCAAGTAATGTTTAGCTCCTGCCTGTGTTTCGGGGTCTGGTTAAACAAAAACTCAGTGGGAGTTTGCCACTTTTTAAGTTCAAAGATTCATATTAACTCAGTATTTTTTTTTTTTTAATGAATTTAGCTTTCCCTTCCCTGTTGGTTGACTTCACCAAGCTGTATTAGTAAGGAAAAATCTACTACCAATTAGTAAGCAGATGCTCAGTTCATGTTTTTATAAAAACAGCTTTTGAATCCTAATCTTTTGAAAATGCTATGACAAGAATGTGACAAGCTTTATATTTTTACTTTTTGGGGGGGTGGGGGTATTTTTGGGACACTTTCTCTGTGTGGTTCAGACTGTTCTTGAACAAACTAGCCCAGGTGGGTCTCAAATGTACACTGATCCTGCTGCCTCAGCCTCCTGAGTGCTGGGACTGTAGCCATTTACCCTCACACCCTGCTTTGCTTTTCATTTTTAAAAGCCACTTAACCCAAAAATTATAAGGCTTTTTAAAACAGATAACCTAGAAACAAAATTGTGGGCTAAGATTTACAGTGCCTACATTTCAAGTCCTGTTTTGCTTTCTCCTATCATCCCTTTGGTATCTACATTGGCTTGAAACAGCTAAAAGTGCCAGTGAACAAGAGAAAAACTCGAACAATATAATTTTATGAAAATTATAAAATTTTTAACCTCACAAATTCATGTTTCAGGAACTTACTGTTTATACCTGAGTGGTTTTCAGTTATTCAAAATTAATATGCACAAAATACTTTTCATCTCAAAAAAGAAAGAATATACCTGTGGCCCATATTTGTATAGTGCATTGGATTGTATTTAGCCGTTTATGGTATTTGGCCTGTTGGAAGAGTTTTCCAAAGCCTAGTAAGAAAGTCATGCTTATTTGTGGGAGCCTGCATACAGCCTTTGCCTATCACCATGTAACCTGATCCCTTTAATAATCCTTGGCAGAGAGAAAACCTTTTAAGCAGTGATCTCAGAGTGCATAGTGAACATTTATTGCCTAATTCTCGGAACTCCACTCATAGCAAGGAAACATCTATTAAGATGCAGATTTGAAGAATCCATCTGGAGCACAAGCTAGGATCATCTTCAGCTTTAGTGCCTGAAGCAGTCTAGAGTACCTTGAGTTACAGCTCCACTTCCTGAGACAAAGTAGATTTCTGGGTCTGCTCACCCTCACGGAGAAAAGACCCTAATACATGTTAGTTGGATTGAACACCCCGAGTGTGTAGGAAGTGAGAACTTTGCATGCTTGTAATTTGGAGTACAAAGACCCTTTTCCAAGGGACATTAATTTGACTTAGACATTTATGGAGACATATTTGTGAGGAAGGAAGATGTAACTATGGTCCACTCTTTTTTACGTTTAAAAAGGGGGATAATTTGAGCAATAAAATCTGTCAGCTTCATACCATTCATACTGGGTTTTCAAAGGATGAGTAAGAGTTCGGCGCTGAAAAGGACATCTCTTCTGGGTTTGAGTATCCTGCCTGTTGAACACCTCTCTCGGAAGAGGTGCCCGAGGACCTAGAGTCACAGCTCCTGGCTGTAAAAGGTTTCTTCTTCTGCTGTAGCCAGAGGTTGCAAATTGGCCTTTGCTCCACCTCCTGTCAGCGTCTCCCGCAGCCCTGCGTCCTGCCCTAGCTTCCCGACCCGCGGCTTGAAGGCGAGACAGTGCCTCCCTGGGCGCTGAAGGGCTCAGGAGGTGGCAGGCCGACCCATCAACGGTCCATTAGGCTGAGGCTTGGCCCTCTATGGGCTGGCGGGAGCGACCTTGGCTCATCGGAGAAGTCATCCTGGTGTTGGGGGGGGGCTGGGCCCACCATCCGGGCTGGAGCCCCTTGGCCTGCTGAGCCCGCTGCCCCACCCCCACCCCCCACGCCCACTCCCAGGCGCGGGGCGAGGCCCAGAGGTCCTGGGGTCGCTCTATTGGAATGGCCAGTGCTGCGGATCTCCTTTCACTTTATTACCACTCAGGAAAACTGGCGATTAGGACTCGAAACCAACAAAGAGTTTTCTTTCCACCTTAACCTTGCACACAATCCTTTAACAAATTAATTAATCCTAATGAATTAACACTTCATTTATTTAAACGCGCTACAGTCCATGAATTAAATTTTCATGCAGTGATTAAAGGCTGTTAAAATATGCATGATTTCGTTAAAATTTTATAATAAATCAGGGCAATGTGTTACATGACAAGGCAACTATTTCCCAGTCCCTCGCAAGGGGCTTTGATTTGTGCGATCGCGGAGAGGAGGAGGGGCTGCTGGCGGCGCCCGCGAGCCGAGGAGCGGGCTGGGGACCCAGCGTTGTGCCGGGCTCGGGGATCGCTGCTCCTGCTTCCTCCGCGGCTTCCGGACCCTCTGGGGACCCCGCTTCTGCCGCCAGGACGTAGCCTGCGGAGGTCGCCGGGTGTGCGTCCGGGCGCTGGAAACTGCACCGCGGCAGGACGGGGCGTCCTCAGCGTCTGCTCGCGCCGCTGAGCGCGCGCAGCCCGGTGTACCCGGGGTGGGTGCAGCGGCCCCGGACTGGCAGGCGACAGAACTTCCTCCTCATCGAGCGCCTAGCCGGGTGGGTGGGCGGGCGGGGCGGCGAGTCTGCAGCAATATTTTGTTGCTTTAACTTGGCGACCTGGAAGCGCCTTCTCGAACTGGCGTGTCCTTCCAGCTTGTAAGGCTCTGGGCCTCGGCGGGGGTGGGACCGAAGCATCTTCTGCCCTTCTGGGACCTAAGTCACCGGGGCCCGTGGCCGCGTGAAGTGGTGTAACTTTGTTCCCTTTGAAAGTGGCTTTGAAGGTGGCTCTCTGTCCACTGGCCGGCGGGCGGAGGGGAGCGAATCCTAGCAGAGACAGTTGTCAGGCATCACCCCAGGGCTTTTGCAAGGTTAGGTGGATTTTATGTGCAGAGAGAGATTTAGGGTGCTGAGATATACATAAAGATCTGTGTATGAAACCCTCGGAGAGGGTTGGCAATGGGACGCATCAACCAGGTCGCAAGGTCATCAGCGACATCTCGGAGTGGGACACCATCTAGGAACATGTCCCTAATGTAAGTGACATTTCTTTTAATGGCCAGAGGGGGAAAATGCATTTGTCAGTAGTTTGTTTGAGAACTATGTCTGCCGGACCCAGCTGGAGCCCAGTCTGCACCCGGAGCCTTAGAAGATCCGGACCGACCCAGGGCTTCGCTCAGGCTGGACTGTGGGACTGCGGGCAGAGAAGGAGGACAGGGACCTCCAGGCGCCTTCTAGCCCAGCATTAGAGAGTGCCCCCTGGCTCTGACTCCTTCTGCTGGGGGCCCTGATGATGGCCACGAAGAGCAGGGCTGTCGCCCACCACCATGAGCGATGAGGTCGTGCGCCGGGGCTTAATGGGCTGTCAGTGGAGGGCTGCAGGCCAACCGGAGGAACCCACAAAGAACCAGTGGGGGCCACTGGAGATGTAGGTTTGTGATGCGTGTGGTGTAGCAGCAAGAGAGGGCCATGAAAGCTGTGCAGGCACAGCCCTAGGAGGATAGTCCTGGGGGAGAGAAAGGACTTAAGTCAGGCAGTGCCCATACAAGGGGCTACTGGGACTGCTCAAGAGCAGCCCTTGATCCCTGAGCCCTGGGCCTGCTCCTCCCTAGTCAGAGCCCTCACACTGGTATCTTCCAGAAGACCATGGCCTCCTTTCAAACTGGACAATGCCTGTGAACTAAGTTTGTGATGTTCCAGTTTGCAAGGACCAGAGCTGTGGCTTCAGCTGTCTCCAGGTGGGATCAGAACCCAGGATTTCTACTAGAGTTTAGGGTCCCTCACTGTCCCCATGTGGGTCAATACACAGCCTCCATATGAACTTATATCTACATTTCCTAAATCAAATCTTTGATTGAAACTTGAGTTCAACTTTCCCAGAGGTAGAAGATGATACTGGCTACTGTGTCAAATGCTAACTTTCCATGAGTCTCACTGGAAGAAGAAAGGCAGTGCTGTGTCAGCTGGGAGTTCCTCAGCTGAGTGGAGGGCAGGTCAAAGGCGAGGGGAGTTCGCCTGGGTCAGTCCACCATCAACCAAGCAGTCCACTCCCTGAACTGGGGAAAGGGGTGCTGCCACAGGAAATTTGAAGTGAATTCTGCCAAAGGAGGAGGAGAGAATTAATTAATGAGTGGAAAAAAATGTGTTTCTGATCCAGATGATAGACTCCCTGTCTCTAGGGGTGGAAATTCCTTGGAAATCAATAGCTATGCATTCATTATCCTTCTCTTGATAAAAAGCAAAGCTATGAGATGGTGTGTACTCTGTGTGTGTGTGTGTGTGTGTGTGTGTGTGTGTTGGTCATTAAACAAGAAGAAGGTGAGGAAAAATGCCCAGAAATCTATGCCAAGGCTCAGACCTCATGTGGGCATCATTAGCAGAGACAGGAACCAACTAATTACAAGAGTTGCGAGCCAGGAAAACAAAGCAGTGACATATGGGTGAGCTGAGTCCACCCCACCCCACCCTTTCTTTTTACTCCTCATGGGCTTCATATGGTCCAAGGAATTTCTTGTCTCACATTTTATCCTGAAGCTGAGGTCTAGCAGGAAAGTGCTGACTGATTCTTTAAGCATCACCCATCTCTCTAGAAATTCCCTCTCATCACACCTGTTAAACCCCTACCATAATCACCTTTCTTCTGTGGATTCTCCAGGCTTGCAAACTGTCCTGTTGTGTCTTGGAGCACAGGTATCCCTATGTCATACCTCATTTCGTGTCCAAGGGTTGCCAGACTAGGTGGGGCTCAGCAAGCTTTGGGGAAGGGACAATAGGTAGCCAGTAAATGAAGGAGGTGTGAAAGGGGTGAAATGGTTTCTGAAAAAGAACAGGCTGGGATGAAGATTAACAGCTCTGCCTGGGGCAAGCATGCATCTCTTGCCCAGTCTCCACCTCCCTTTTAAGGGAGCCCCCATCCAGGATTGTCTAGCAACCTGCAGTCAACTCTGGCTCATTAAAGCACCCCTGTCTTTTTCTTCTGACCCTCCCCAAATGACCTCTCTTCTTTCTTGAACACGATTGTTTGATGGAGCTCTGCTACACATGCACGGTGGAAAACAGAAGTGGCCTGAATGGGCATCCAATCCAGGAAAGGAGAAAACGAAAGGATTGTATCCACAACTTTCACACCTCTAGTGTGGGATGTGGGCAGGATATTCTAGACAGAGGTCTAGCCTCACTCAGAACTCAGAAAGTACTCCTGTAGTCCAAAGAGAGGGAGGCAAATTAAAAAAGGGAGTTTGGGCAGGAGGTGAAGCTCTCAACTTTAGGCTGCCCTCTTCCTCCTAGGTGAAGAACTCCCAGTGTCTAGGGGTAGACCAAGATTGACACTACGGAGCTCTCTCCTTCAGCCCTCCTATGGATCCACCTGGCCAAAACCTGGGCTGTTTGTATTTCTGTGGGCCCTGCACCTCTGAGCATCCTTAGAGTCCAGCGTTTCCCTGGAGTCTGGCTACAGGCACTAGACTCTGGGAGGGCGGGGCGCCCTGTGGGGAGCTTTCTTACCCCCGACCGGCGAGCCCTCCATCCGCCCCGACCGGTGTCAGGAAGGATTAGGTTAAAGCCAGACACCCGTTGCGACAGCGACCACAGGACTCGCTCTTCCCCTCCAGCGACGTCCCGCTCTTCGTCCATTCCCCGTCGAGATAAAGTTGCATTTAGCGCTCCCCGGGGAATGCGTAATGGATGGAGCTGCAGCTCTTTCTCACCCCAGCAAGTGAACATCCTTTTCACTTCCCTCTCAGGCTAGAAGAAAGGGAGGGGGTGAGAGCAGAAAATAAAGCAAAAAAGAAAAGCCCTCGTGATGCCTGTGGGCTCTTCTTGGATCTGAATAGGTGAGTGGGTAATGCGAAATACGCACGTGTTGATGTAAAGGAAAGACAAACTCCACGGGTGCGCAAGTCCCTGGATTTACAGAAATGAGCTCTGCTCTTTGGTGAAAATACAGACCTCCTTGGTGTGAGAGAGACCTGCAAGATTAGTTATCTGATTTCTATTCCCCACATCTCCAGCTCTCTGGCGGCAGATGTGATAACATCTGGCCCATTATTATCACCCAGGGCAAACAGTGGGTCCCTAGAGACTTAGGCACCTGAACAGTAGCTCCCTAAGGAGGGCCTGGATCTATCTGCCACAGAGGGCCATGTAACAGGTTGGCTAATTGATTTATTCTTCTTAGGTCTTGATTTCACAGTAATTTAAAAGAAACTGATAAAGGAGGGACCAGATTGGGTGCTTTTAAAATTCATTTCAATTAATATTTTGAATCACACTTTCCTCTAAGTTAAAGTCCCCTTGTTTCCTATTGAAGAAGAAATACAAACAAAAAGAGATGAGTCACAGAGTCAAAAGGATGGGAGAGAAAACAAAGTTCTCTTCATATCTTCTCTTTTCTGAAGCGGTTTTCTTTTTCTGGAGTTTCCAGAATAAAGGGTGTGTGTGTGTGCACGCGCATGTGTGCGCGCTCGTGTGTGAGAGCGCGCCTGTGTGTGTGTGTGTGTGCGCGAGCGCGCGCGCTGCCTAAGGCAAGAAAAGGATCTCAGCTACACCCTGTTAACTATTTTCCCTTTTGATGACTAGACCCCTCAGATCATTCAGACTCTTTTGAAACGTGGGTTTGTACACGGTTTTAGAGACAATAAGAGAAACGCACAATTTCATTTCAACAGCCTTTTTCGAATAAAAAGCACCCACTCCTTGTGGCTTCTAAGTGGCTGTCACTGGTGGTGCCTGACACAGTTATATTAACAACAACAACAAAGTATGCAGAGGAAATTAAATTATATGGAAATCAATAGCGTCTGACTGCTTCAAACAAATGTCTGTCACCGCGATTATTCTCCAGGAACCTATTTATAAACCTTAAAAGAAACAAGTTCTGTAGCAGAAGACAGCTCCGTCCGCATTTCTGTGTAATTCTTTTCTGTATACAGAGGAATTCGCGGGCATCATTTAACACACAAACGCCCAGCTGTATACATTGCATAACTGCTTGTTAGGCATCCCGGAAAGGAGTTGTGTTCAAGTGAGGCGCCGGTGTTCAGAGCTTGCGAGGGAGGAGGTGGGAAAAGCCAGGCGGGGAGCGTGTGTCTGTGGCCTTTCTCCGTCCAAAGGGTGCCTGTCCAGAGACAAGAGCCGGCCCGTCGATCTTCCCAGACGGCGGTAGAACGGTGTCGCGTGCAGTGCGCATGCCCGGGCAGCTACAGGTGCATCACCTGCGCTGTCCTGGCTGGTGGTCACTAGAGGAGCAGCTCCCACGCGCCGCTCGCTGCCCGACGAGTGCGCGCGCGCGCAGACGCAGGGCGCCGCCGAGAGGAAGAGCGCGCGCCAGACAGACGGAGATAGCTGATGCCTGTCAACGCGGCGGGACTGCGAGTTCTCGCGAGAGCTCCCCGGGCCGGCCGCGAGAAGTGGGGCTCAGGTGTAAGAGGAGTGCATCCCGTCTGCGCGCGGGGCTAGAGCTCGCGGAGAAGCGGACCGCGAGGCCGGCGCGCGGCGCTCTGCGCGGTCACAGGAGCGCCGGGCGACGGCAGGAGCGGCGGGAGCCCACGGCGCGGCCGCCACTGTCCGCGGCTGCCACATCGGAAGGGAGGCCGGGGCCCCGGCGCGCGCACTTTCCCGCGGACTTTCCGAGTGTTTGTGGATTTACATGCCCAGCGGCCAAGATGATGTCCATGAACAGCAAGCAGCCGCACTTTGCCATGCATCCCACCCTCCCTGAGCACAAGTACCCGTCGCTGCACTCCAGCTCCGAGGCCATCCGGCGGGCCTGCCTGCCCACGCCGCCGGTAAGCGCCCCGCGCCCGCGCCCGGCCCGGCCCCGC